CCACCCTTGGTATATGGGGCTGGCGCCCTACTCACTGAGCCATAGGTGCTGCCTGAAACTCTTTACTTTTATTTAACTGATTACCAAACACGAGAACAAGAGAAAAGGATTTTCTTTTCGGTTTTTTATTTGTTTGTTTGTTTTTAGAGACAGAGTCTCACTTTATTGCCCTTGGTAGAGTGCTATGGAGTCACAGCTCACAGCAACCTCCAACTCTTGGATTTAGGCGATTCTCCTGCCTCACCCTCCCAAGTAGCTGGGATTACAGCCATCCACCACAACGCCTGGCTATTTTTTGTTGCAGTTTGGCCAGGGCTGGGTTTGAACCTGCCACCCTTGGCATACGGGGCTGGAGCCCTATTTACTGAGCCACAGGCACCACCCAAAGGATTTTCTTTTTCTTTTTTTGAGACAGAGTCTCACTATGCTGTCCTGGGTAGAGTGCTGTCGTGTCGCAGCTCACAGAAACCTCAAACTCTTGGGCTTAAGTGATTCTCTTGCCTCAGCCTCCCAAGCAGCTGGGACTACAGGCACCTGCCACAATGCTTGGCTATTTTTTGGTTGTAGTTGTCATTGTTCAGCAGATTCGAACCCACCAGCTCCGATGTATGTGGCTGGTAATCTAGCTGCTGAGCTACAAGCGCTGAGCCAAGAGAAAAGGATTTTCATTCTGATGCTCCTATAAACATGTCTTGGAAACATTTCCCAAAGTATGTTTGGCAAACATCTAATATGAGCCTAGATCATGAACAAAAGCTTCAGCTAGAAGGAGGCCAGCCATCACAGTCCACCTTGCACTGGTATAATCCAAAGAAAGAAAGAATTTACGTAGAGTCATAGAACAAGTCAGCTACCAAGTCCCCCAATGTGCCAATGCAAAGGCTCCCCCTGCCTCATTTGCTTCTCATGGCAGCCCCCAGGGTTGAGGCTAGACTGGGCCTGGGCTGGTGGTCACGGACCAGGCCAGCTCTGCATATGTCTTTCACAGAGCTGAGTACATGCACGTTTTTATTGAATGGGTTTTCCAGATGAGGCATGGAGGTTTCAAAAAGATTAAAAGGCTCAACTGAGGTCTTTTCTGCTCCTCCTCAACCCTCTGGCATTGACTCTGTGGCCCAGGGCTCCAGTCGCCTCATCTCCCAGAATCTTACTCCCCAGAGTCTCAGAGATAGAGGCTGTTTTAATTATCAAAAGAATCCTTTGGCTTAAGTAGGTAGTATAACATGGTGGGTAAACTATAAATTCTGGAGGCAGAACACCTGGTTTGAATCTTAGCTCCACTCCCCACTGGCTACAGTAAGTGAGTGAGCCCCTTTCCCTGTCTGGGCCTTAGTTTTCCTGCCTGTAACACAGAAATAATAACAGCCTCTCATAAGGCTACTGTGAGAAGTAAGCTCATGAGCTCTCATAGACAAGCATTCAGAACAGCACCCTCCACATGGTAAGTGCATCACTGACCTCATCTACATTTTATATAGGTAGAAACTGAACTCAGAGAACTGGAAACCTGCCCAAGGGCACTAACTGGCAGAACTGGAGCTATCTTCAAAGCCTGCCCTGCTGGTTCCACTTTTTTGTTACCCTTGACACTGCCCAGGGCGCTCATGGTGGTCCCAGCACCAGGCCCCCTGCTCACGCACCTGGGAGTTTCCACTTCCAGCCAGAAGCTGGATCATCTGCTGCATAAGCTGCTGCTGGGCGCTGGGAGCCCCCGCTGGGGAGGATGTGGCTTGTGTGGCTGGCGAGGAGGTGGCAGCCTCAGGAACAGCCCCAGCATTGCTGCCTGCTGAAGGTGCTGGAGCCCGGGACATCCCAAAGGAGCCAAGGCTGTAGGCAGGAGAGACCAGGATATGGGAAATGGTGCCCAAGAAAGGGACAGCAGTATGAGATCCAGAAGGAAAAGCAGTTGGAGGAAAGAGGAAAATACCCTCAGAGACACAAAGGCTGTTCAGAGAGTGGCAGAGAAGAGCTGCAGGGGAGTGGCCCAAACTTGCTGCCCACCTGTCCCCACTCTCACCTGGGAACTAGCCCAGGGGCTTCGGTCTGCAAAGTCTGCAGTCCTTGCTGGATCTGCAGCAGTGCCTGCATGGCCCGGGGGTTGGTCAGGACAGACAGTGACTCTGGGTTCTGCATCTGGAGGAAAATAAGAGGAAAAAGGCAATGGGAGTGGCAGGAGAGAGGGGCAGCCTAAATTTGCAGTCCAGAGTCGGCCCCGCCCCCACCTTAATGTCCACCACCTGGCTCCAGGGCCCATCCTGCCAGGTTCCTCACTCACCTGCTGTAGGAAGACCGGCAGCTGCAGGCGGAGCTGCTCCTGAAGCTGGGGGTTCCCTGCGAAGAGTGGCACGTTCACCATCATCTGCAGGGGAAGGGGGTAAGGGGCTTAAGCATTCCTACCCTAAAAATCCCCACAGCCTCGGACGCTCTCAGCACCCCTACCACTGTGGGAATCTGGCTGGCTTCTCCAAAGATCTGAAAGCATCCTGAAGGCCTAAGAGGGACAGCCAGACGAAATAGAACTATGCTCTGGGCAGTGAAGGTTATCAGGAGTCAGGCTGCTCAGCCTTGGGGCTACTGATGAGCATAACAGCTAACTTATGGTCTATGCTTGTAGTTGCAAAATAAAGAAAAAAAAAGCTAACATTTCCAGGTCTGTCTGTGACATGCTATGTTCTAAACATTTTATTTGTTTTTTTTTTTTGAGACAGAGCCTCAAGCTGTCCCCCTGGGTAGAGTGCCATGGCATCACAGCTCACAGTACACAGCAACCTCCAACTCCTGGGCTCAAGCCAGTCTCCTGCCTCAGCCTCCCAAGTAGCTGGGACCACAGGCGTCTGCCATAACACCCAGCTACTTTTTGTGTGCAGCCATCATTGTTGTTTGGTGGACCTGGGCTGGATTTGAACCCGCCACCTTAGGTGTATGTGGCTGGTGCCTTAGCCACTTGAGCCACAGGTGCCGAGCCTAAGCATTTTATTTCTATTAACTCATTTAATGCTCACAAAGTAGCAGAGCTTGGGGCATAAACCCAGACAGAATGGCTCCAGAGTACCTTTTTTTTTTTTTTTGTAGAGACAGAGTTTCACTCTGTTGCCCTTGGTAGAATGCCATGGCGTCACACAGCTCACAGTAATCTCCAAATCCTGGGCTTAGGCAATTCTCTTGCCTCAGCCTCCCAAGTAGCTGGAACTACAGGCACCCACCACAAAGTCCAGCTATTTTTTTGTTGTTGCAGTTTGGCCAGGGCCAGGTTTGTACCTGCCACCCTTGGTATATGGGGCCGTCGCCCTACACACTGAGCCATAGGTGCCGCCCCCTTTTTTCTTTGAGACAGTCTCACTTTGTCCCCCTGGGTAGAGAGCCATGGCGTCATAGCTCACAGCAACCTCAAACTCTTGGGCTCAAGGGATCCTCTTGCCTCAGCCTCCTGAGTGGCTGGGACTACAGATGCCCTGCCATGATGCTTAGCTGTTGTTTTTTTTTTAATGGAAGGGGTCTCACTCTTGCTGAGGCTAGTCTGGAACTCCTGAGCTCAAGCAATTCACCTGACTTGGCCTCCCAGAGTGCTAGGATTACAGGCTTGAGCCACTGTGTCCCACCCAGAGTGTTTGACAATCACAAGAAACTGTTTCTAGACATGGAACTCTCTTCCCAACAACATGCCCCTATCCCAGCTTGATACCTGAGCAGCAAAATCAGGGTTCTGAGCAAGTGTCTGCATCATGCTGCGCATGTAGGGTGCCGAGATCACGTTCTGCATTAGCTGGGGATTCTCCGAGATCTGCTGCAGAAGGGCCTGCATTTCAGGGCTATTGAACACCCCTAGGATAAAGAGGAAAACACAAAACAAAACAGGAGAGAAGGGTCCAGATGGAAACCGGATGCCTCAACTTTAATCTACCTTAGACACCAAGTGTTTACAAGCTCAGAAAGCCTATGGCCAATGGGCACCCAAGTACTGTGACATAGGTCCAAGTCTTTCCTAAGCAAGGTCATCTCATCCTGCTCTGGCCTGGCCCGTTTCCAATCTAGTCTGCTAAAGACAAGCCAACTAGAAACTGGGTCTGATTTATGCCCCTCTGGACTGTTCCTGCCACATGCTCAGATTATGTCTGAATTGCAAAGGATTGATTAAATATCACTCAGATCAATGGTTTTCAAACTTAGCAGAAGAGACCCCTTCCTCAAGCCAAATCTCCCTCAGAAACCAGTATGTCAATGGTCTGGTTGGAGCTGGTGTAGGAGGCCTGGGAGCCTCTCCCCTTTGCTCCTCCCTAATCCTGGAGATGAAGACTCCCCCCAGCCCCCCACCAAGGACTCAGCACAACTTTAAAACCATGGATCAAATTCTAGTCCTTATTATATATATGTGTGTGTGTATATATATATACACACACACACACACATATATATATATATATTTTTTTGAGAGAGTTTTATTTTGTCGCCCTCAGTAGAGTGCCATGGCATCACAGTTCACAGCAACCTCCAACTCCTGGGCTTAGGCGGTTTCTCTCGCCTCAGCCTCTTGAGTAGCTGGGACTACAGGCACTTGCCACAACACCTGGCTATTTTTTATTGCAGTTTGGCCGGGGCCGGGTTCAAATCTGCTACCCTCGATATATGGGATTGGTGCCTTACCCACTGAGCCACAGGTGCCACCCTAGTCCTAATTTCATAAACAAGGAAACTGAAGCTCACAAAAGAGAAGGGACTTTTCCAATCAAGACATTCCCCAGAGTACAGAAACATCTCCAAGGCCATGTGTGTAGCCGTAGTCCAGATGAGGGGGTATCCCCCAGAGTTGCACAGTACACCACCTGCGCTTCTGCATCCCCCAGCCTCATTCTTGCCTGTCCTCTCCGCCCTGCCCCACCCCACCAGTCTGACCTATTTATACTGGACAGTACTAGAGGTAGTTGTGGACAGATTAAGAGGTTTATTCATGAGCCATTACTTAGGTCACTCTTAGAGACATTAGGACATGGCCAGAAACAGCCCCTTCTGAAGGGTTAGGCCATTACTCCAGCCTTTCTGTGGCTTCAATAGTCTCACCTCTATCTTCAATATCCTGGAGCAGTATGAACCCCATTCTGTCCTGGGGCAGAGGGGCTTCCCTGGTGACCCAACTAAGCTCCTTCCACCCCAGGACATACCTGACCCCAGGCTAGCCGCATTGATCCCAAAGGGGTTCGAGACTGTCGGGTGCACCTGGCTGGTCCCCGATCCTCCGTTGCCCTCCCCACCGGACCCGGGGGCCTGGGAGGTGGGGGGCGAGGGGCTCCAGGGGTTAGGGAGGGGCTCTCGATTCTCAGTCCGCAGAGGCTGGGAGGACGAGCTGTCGGAGTTCCCGGCCAGGGAAGAGAATGGATTGTTGCCAAACTGGGAGGAGGGAAAGGTTTTGGGTTAAGGACTGAAACAAATCAGGGACAAGGGCTAGGCCCTTTTTCTCCTCTCACCTAATAGCCTCCCCTTCCCCAGGAAAGGGAGAGCAATCTAAGACTTTGGAGGTACCCAGTGCAGCTCTCTGCCCCCCAGGGACAGCTCTGCCCTCACACAGCAGGTGGGAGCTGGCTGATGCTAACAAACCTTTCAGATAACTTGAAAACTTCCCATCTCCCCTGAAAGCTCTAAATCTTTGGTCTCTAACTGCTGCTTCCTCTGTGATCCATAGCACTTCACACATACCTTTCCCATTATACAGAGAGATATTTGTCCTGTAGAGACAATGTCAGATTTGCCTCTGCACACCCAGCCCTCGCACTAGTAAGTGCTCAGTAAGTAACTAATGGATTGATGGGCATGGGCATTCTGGCCTGGGGGTCTACTTCAGCCCAGCATCTTCTTTTTTTTCCCTTTGAGGCAGAGTCTCACTTTGTCACCCTTGGTAGAGTGCCGTGGCACCATAGCTCATAGCAACCTCAAATTCCTGGGCTCAAGAGATTCTCTTGCCTCAGCCTTCCAACTAGCTGGGACTGCAGGGGTCAGCCACAACGCCTGAGTATTTTTAGAGATGGGGGTCTTGCTCTTGCTCAGGCTGGTCTCAAACCTGTGAGCTCTTGGCCTCCCAGAGTGCTAGGATTACAGATAAGAGCCATTGTGCCCAGCCCAGCCCAGCCCAGCATCTTTTGCTAGCCTCCTTGGTCTAATGCTAATTGGCCAGACCCTCTTTCTCCCTCTGGTCCCCTAGGAGTATTCTTTGTCCATTTGGACATACCACTGTGGAACACATTTCTGGCTGGAGACACCCTCTCTAGGTCTCCTTCCCTCCTGCCCCACAGCCTACCTCCTGACATGGCTGCTTAACTGAACAAGACTGAGTTCCCTGCCATCTCCCTCTCTCCAGCCGGACCAGGATCTTAGGGCTGCACCCTATAAGATGGGATGCTGCTCAAAGGCACACTGGAACCTCCTCCCTCTGGACCCTTCAGCACCAGGTCAGAGCTCCACCCAGCCTAAGTCTGCTAAAGGAGGGCCAGACCTCACTTCTCTTGCTCAGACTTCCTCAGAGCCCTAGAGCTCCCAGCTTCCTCTTCTGAGTTCCCAGGTGGTCCTGACCTCAGTAGGAGGTAACGGAGCAGCCTTGGCTTCTCCTTATCATGAGGTTTTCATATCTGGTCACTTTTCCTGTTCATTCAAAGTAGGTCAGGGGACTGGGGCTGACCTAGGCCTATCCTGTCCTGACCTGTGAGTCCCTTGCCCCTTACCAGGTAACTTCAGAAATGGGGCTTATGGTTTCATGCACCATGGTTTCAGTCTCGTCTCTGTGTCAGATTTCCTGTTCTGGTGACTTGTATGGCACTTTACCCCACCTAGTTTTGGGCCCTGCTTTGTTCTTCCTGGTATGCCCTAAGGACTAAATCTCCTTTCCTAAACTACCTACAATAATAATATTGAGCACCTACTATGTGCCTGAACATTTATTCTAATGCTTATAACAGCCTCTAATACACCAGTTCTCAAAGTGTGGTTCTATGACCCATACAAGGTTTAAAACTGTTTTCATAATCCTAAGACATTAATTTGCTCTTATCTTACTATTTCATGAGGATACAGTGGAGTTTCCCGAAGGCTACATGACATGTAACACTGAAATGAACTGAATGCAGATCTGAGAAGCCATCTGTCTTGTAGTAAGCCAGATATTAAAGAGATCTGCAAAATGTAAAACAAGGCCACATTTTCCTCTAAATTTTCTTTGTTTTGGAACATGAAGTTATTTCTCAAAAGAATGTTATTTATGTAAACTTGTAATGGATTTTTGTTTTCATTTATTATTAATTTTATTGAATTTATTTTGAGACTACAGGTAGAGTGGTGTGGCATCGGCCTAGCTCACAGCAACCTCACACTCTTGGGCACAGGTGATCCTCCTGCCTCACCTCTTCCATTGCAGAGACTACAGGTGCCTGCCATGACTCCCGGCTAGTTTTTCTATTTTTAGTAGAGACTGGGTCTTGCTCTTGCTCAGGCTGGTCTCGACCTTGTGAGCACAGGCAATCCACCTGTCTCGGCCTCCCAAGTGCTAGAATTATAGGCAGGAGCCACCGTGCCCGCCTGGATTTTTTTTTTTTTTTTTTGAGACAGAGTCTTAATATGTTGCCATTGGTAGAGTGCTGTGGCGTCACAGCTCACAGCAACCTCAAACTCTTGGTCTTCAGCGATTCTCTTGCCACAGCCCCCCTGATTTCAATTTCAGACACAGTGAAGACTTATAGCTGTAATGCACACAAACAAAAGCTCTTTAGGACCTTCCCTAAACTTTAAGAGTATAAAGGGGTCCTGAGACCAAAAAAATTGAGAACAACTGCTACATTACCTCCATATTTGAAAAGAGGGACACTAACACTCAGAGGGATTAAGCAGTTCACTTATAATCCCACCACTAGGAAATGCCAGAGCAGGTATCTCAATTCAGGTTTGTTGATGCCGAGTGCTATATTCTTTTTAGCTAAACCAGTGGTCTCATACCTGTGTATGCAGCAGAATTAGCTGGGGTACTTTGTTTCATACAACTGGGTTTTTTTGTTTGTTTTAATTGAGACAGTGTATTAAAGGCTGGAATACAGTGGTACAATTATAGCTCTTTGCAGTTTCCAATTCCTAGGCTAACGCTATCCTTCCACTTCAGCTTCCTAAGTAGCTGAGACTACAGGTGCATGCAATGATGCCTAGCTAATTTTTTTTTTTTTTTTGCGACAGAGTCTCATTTTGTCACCCTCAGTAGAATGACGTGGCATCACAGCTCACAGCAACCTCCAGCTCTTGGGCTTAGGCAATTCTCTTCCCTCAGCCTCCCAAGTAGCTGGGACTATAGGTGCCTGCCACAATGCCTGGCTATTTTTTGTTGCAGTTTGGCTGGGGCTGAGTTTGAACCTGCCACCCTTGGTATATGGTGCCAGTGCCCTACTCACTGAGCCACAGGTGCCGCCCTGCTTAGCTAATTTATTTATTTTTTTTCAGTTTTTGGCTGGGGCCAGGTTTGAACCCGCCACTTCCAGTATATGGGGCCTGCGCTCTACTCCTTTGAGCCACAAGTGCTGCCTCTTAGTTAATTTTTTAAAACACTTTTTTTTTTTGTGGCAATGGAGACAGGGTCTCAATATGTTATTTAGTCTGGTCTAGAGTGATCTTCCCATCTTGACTCTCAAAGTAACAGGAATATAGGCATGAGACACTATTTCTGGCTCATACTTAAATTTTTTTTTTTTTTTGAGAGAGTCTCACTGTGTCGCCCTGGGTGGAGTGCCATGGTGTCACAGCTCACAACAACCTCAAACTCTTGGGCTTAGGTGATTCTCTTGTCTCAGCCTCCCAGGGAGCTAGGACTATAGGTACCCGCCACAATGCCCAGCTATTTTTTGGTTGTAGTTGTCACTGTTGTTTGGCATGCCCGGGTTGGATTCAAATCCATCAGTTCTGGTGTATGTGGCTGGTGCCCTAGCTGCTGAGCTACAGGTGCCGAGCCCATATTTAAATATATATATACACACATATATTTTGCAGTTTTTGGCTGGGGCCAGGTTTGAACCCACCATCTCCAGTATATGGGGCCAGCACCCTATTCCTTTGAGCCACAGGTGCTGCCCCATATTTAAATTTTTTTTTTGAGACAGAGCCTCAAGCTGTCCCCCTGGGTAGAGTGTTCTGGCATCATAGCTCACAGCAACCTCCAACTCCTGGGCTCAAGTGATTCTCCTGCTTCCGCCTCCCAAGTAGCTGGGACTACAGGCGCGCCACAACGTCTGGCTATTTTTGGTTGCAGCCATCATTGTTTGGCGGGCCCAGGCTGGATTCAAACTTGCCAGCTCAGGTGTATGTGGCTGGCGCATTTGCCACTTGAGCCACAGGCACCAAGTCCATATTTAAAATTTTTAAATAGGTGTGTACAGTATTTGGATAAAAAAAAAATTTCTATTAAATACTTAAATAAGGCTGGGCATGGTGGCTCATGGCTGTAATCCCAGCACTCTGGGAGGCTGAGGCGGGTAGACTGCCTCAGTCCAAAAAGATGCAGGTTAAAATGATATGAATAGCATGGTATCACTTCTGTAAGGTTTAAAAATATGCAAAACATTACTAGAGATGTTTATAGTTATATACATAGGTAATAGAGGAATCTCAGCTAAGCACAGTGCCTAATGTCTATAATCCTAGCACTCTGGGAGGCTGAGGCAGGAGACTGCTTCAGCTCAGGAGTTTGAGACCAGTCTGAGCAACACAGTGAGATCCCATCTCTACAAAAAATAAAAAAAAAAAGTGCAGTCCCTGTAGCTCAGTGTGTAAGGCGCTGGCCACATACACTGAGGCTGGCAGGTTCAAACCCAGCCCAGGGCAGCTAAACAGCAATGATAACTGCAACAAAAAAGAAATAACCGGGTGTTGTGGCAGGCACCTGTTGTCCCAGCTACGTGGGATGTGGAGGCAAGAGAATCACTTAAGCCCAAGAATTTGAGGTTGCTGTGAGCTCTGACACCACAGCACTCTACCAAAGGTGCCATAGTAAGACGCTGTCTCAAAAAAAAAAAAAAAAATTAGCCAGGTGTGGTGGCATGTGTCTGTAGTTTCAGGTAGTCCAGAGGCTTAGGCAAGAGTATTGCTTGAGCCCAGAAGTTTAAGGCTTCAGTGAGCTATGACAATACCATTATTCTCCAACCTGGGCAACAGAGCAAGACCCTGTCTCAAATGAATGAATAAATAAATAAATAAATAAATAAAACAATCAGAATGATAAACACTAACTTCAGGGTAGTAGTTAACCTCCGGAAAGAGAAGGAAAAATAGGACTTCAGAGGGGTTACTTGAAGGGTACGCCTCTCCTGTATGTCTAGAAAAATACACAAAATATACCCCCATTATATTCTGAAATTAAAAACAAAACTTTGTGACCTTGGGTTAGGCAAAGATTGCTTAGACATGACACCAAAATCATTAATAAAAGAGGATCACTTGAGCTCAGGAGTTTGAGACCAGCCTGAGCAAAAGTGTGAGACCCTGTCTCTGCTAAAAATAAGACAAAAAAATTAGCCAGGCATGGTGGCAGGCACCTGTAGTCCTACTTCGGTGGCTGAGGTAGGAGACTGAGCACAAGAGTTTGAGGCTGCTGTGAGGTAGACTGACACCATGGTATTCTAATCTGTGCAACAGAGTGAGACTCTCAAAAATAAAGGAGGGGGGCAGCCACATATCTGTAGTCCCAGTTAGTAGCCTCTGTAGTCCAGAGGCTTAGGCAAGAGTATTGGCTCATGCCTATAATCCTAGCACTCTGGGAGGCTAGGTGGATTGTTTAAGCTGAGAAGTTCCAGACTAGCCTAAGCAAGAACAAAACTTGTCTCTACTAAAAATAGAAAAACTAGCCCAGTGTTGTGGTGCTTGCAGTCCCAGCTACTCTGGAAGCTGAGACAGGATTATTTGAGCCTCAGAGTTTGAGACTGCTCCAAGATATGATGCCATAGCACTCTACCCAGGCAACAGAGTGAGAATCTATCCCTCCCCCTCCCCCCCAAAAAGAAAGAAGAGGCCAGCATGGTGGCTTATACCTGTTATCCTAGCACTCCAGGAGGCTGAGGTGGGTGGATCACCTGAGCTTAGGAGTTTAAGACCAGCCTGAGCCAACAGCGAGACCCTGTCTCTAAAAATAGCCAGGTGTTGTGATGAGGGCCTGTACCCCCAGCTACTCAGGAGGCTAAGGCAAGAGGTTCCCTTGTGCCCAAGAGTTTGAGGTTGTTGTGAGCTATGATGCCACAGCATTCTACTGAGGGTGACAAAGTGAGACTCTGTGTCAAAAACAAACAAACAAAAATTTGTTCATTCTATCTAGAAAGAAAAGATCAATCAATAATACTTAAAAAAAAAAAAAAAAGAAAAGAAAAGAAAAGAAAAAGAACTGGGTGTGGTGGCTCACACCTATAATCCTAGCACTCTGGGAGGCTGAGGCTGGTGGACTGCCTGAGCTCACAGGTTTGAGACCAGCCTGAGGCAGAGCAAGACCCCTGTCTGTAAAAATAGCTGTGCATTGTGGAAGGTGCTTGTAGTCCCAGCTACTCGGGAGGCTGAGACAATAGAATCACTTGAGCCCAAGAGTTTGAGGTTGTTGTGAGCTGTGACACCACGGCATTCTACCAACTCTTGTCTCAAAAAATAAAAAAGAAAAGAAAGAGAAAAATAGAGAAAATACTAGCAATATTAGTTACTACTGGGATACAAAAGAGGTGGCTGGGAGATAGAAATAGAGGGATCCTTTTTTTTTTTTTTAAAGACAGAGTCTCACTTTGTCACCCTTGGTAAAGTGCCCTAGTGTTGCAGCTCACAGCAACCTCCAGCTCTTGGGCTTAGGCAATTCTCTTGCCTCAGCCTCTGGAGTAGCTGGGACTACAGACACCTGCCACAACGCCCAGTTATTTGAGGAATCCTTTTTATGTACCTTCTTGTGACTTATATACCTTACTTTCCCATAGTTTATTTTATTTTATTTATTTTGAGACAGAGTCTCACTTTGCCGCCCTCCCTGTAGAATGCTGTGACATCACAGCTTACAGTAACCTCAAACTCTTGGGCTTAAGCTATTCTCTTGCCTCAGCCTCCTGAGTAGATGACTTTCCCATTGTTTTTAGAAAACTTTTTGTATACTTCTTTAACTT